CTTTCCACCTGATCTCTTTTTCCATTCTCGCCTTTTTCTTTCTCTCGTTTATCTACTTGGTTGCCTCCTACACGTAGCACCGCGGGACTCTAAATCGCCATCCCGTAACTCTCATCTCTGATCCCCAACTACCCTCTCCTTTTGCCCCCTTCCCCTACCTGTTCTTCCTTTTTTTCCGGAATTTGAGTCAATAAAAAATCGCTTGGAACAAAGAAACGAACGGCCGCCAATTTCTCACCGGATAATGCTCGGGCCCATCGGGCTCCGGGAGAAGGCTAATCACGACTGGGCATCTCGACTTCTGTTAGGTGTTAAAAATGAACCCCGCGGGGCCCTGCGTTCTTTATCTCGCGACCGGCGCGTCACGCAGATCCCTCGACTCGCCCGCCCCGAGACGTGGAATATTAAAATTTGGAAATGTTACACCCGGTTGTCGTGCCCATCCGAGAGTTTCTGCCTTCGTGCGAGAGGGAGCGAGAAGAGGGCGAGTTGTGATAGAATGTCAGGAGAACGGCGCGCATCAATTTCTGCTTGTGCCACGAGACTGTTCATAAATCTGAAAACATCTACCCATTTCGCGCATATAAATCACATCGTCTCGACCGTTCCCCGAAAGTGGTTGATTCATCTGGTTTGTTAAGTCTCGCTCTCTGCTCCTTTACGTACGTCTATTGGATTTCTGCCGAAGATCGCTAGCCTCGGTCGAGAGCTCTCTCTCTCTCTCTCTCTCTCTCTCTCTCTCTCTCTCTCTCACGGCGTCGATCGATATATCGTTCGCGATTACGACGAGCCGCTAGAGAATCGGCAATTTATCACGGAGATTCGCGTTCGAAGTCGGCTTTCCCTCGGAATTTCTCCTTGATTAGACACGTCGACCGCTCGACGAATCGCCGGTGTATATTCGTTTCTCGATTTGGAATCCCGAACGGACGTTCCTCGACGAACGGGGCGGCTCACTTCCGCGGAGACGATTCCGGGTTGGACGACGAGACCGAACCACGTATGTCGTTAGGCACGCGTAACGCGAGGCTCTGAACGCGCCAGTGTTTCGTTACAACGACGACGAAGCGCTCGAAATTCGATTCTGGCGAGAAACAAGAAAGCCGAAGCCGTCGACCTGCCAGGTCTAATCTCGCTTTCGTGTTTGGAATACCAAATTTACGTAACACGGCACGGTCGGGCATGCGTGCGGACAAAGGGATCGTGTTAAAAACCTGCACCGATTAAGTAACGTTTCGTCAGCCATCATTTTTATTATTTATTAATAATTTATCCTTGTATAATTTTTCCCTCTCCACACGACTCGAATCTACGGTTTTCTCCCCGTACGTTTTATGATGCTGTCGTATTCTTTAATCTGTTCTAATGTTCTCACGCGGAAATTTGAGAACGACCACAGCGGAAGAGCAGCTTTCGCAGGAAACCGACGACAACGATTACTCAGATTTCTCGAGACGAAAGGAGTGTCCTCGTGTTTCGGTTTCTTTCTCCGATGCAACCATCTTTTGCCCTATCCTCCCCGATTCTCTCCAGAAGAGCGAATTATCCGTTCGCGCGGGGTCGAGAGGTAAGGGAAGAAGAGGAGAAACCCCCCTCAAAGGCGCGCCTAACCCCTGCGGGTCACGGAGAGAACGGTGTTTTACCGACTATTAACTCGCCTTTACCCCTGTTTCTTACCCTCGCGGTCTGGCCTAAGGGACGACGAAGGGAAGAGAACCGAAGGGTCTGCAGGCGCCGATGAGATAGAAACGAAATTGGGAAAGGTGCACGCAGAATCCCTTCGCGCGTGTATTTCTTCCCCTGCTCGAGGCTCCTCGCGTAATCTCTTCGGTTTTTTTTTTTTTTTTTTAATCGCGCTATTCTCGCTTTTTTCCCCCTTCTGCGATATTTCTCTTTCCACTTTTCCGGGTTCTTCCGGGATGGTCACGTGCAGGTAGCGAGTTAGGTACCTGCGCGACTCCTCGAAGAGGGATCAAAAAAAAAGAATGAAAGAAAAGAAAGAAAAACGCCAGATCTCTCCGGGGGCCACGCTCGATTTAACCCCTGAGAAAAATCATCCCCCTTGCCCGGCGGAGTCGTCGCAGTTGATTCCGGGGGTTAACCGATTTCCCTGCGAAATTTGAAATCCGAGAGCGCGTTTTTTCCTACGGTTTTCTCTGGTCTGACCTGAGTTGTGCACCCGTTTAAAGGCTTAAGTATCTCGTAAAAATGGGCTCGAGGATATGAGGCGAGGTCTCGATGCCCCTCTTCCTATTTTTTTTTTTTTTTTTTTTTCTACGCGACTTCCGAGGTTAGAGGGTCGGATGTCAGTCGCCGTCTCTAATTTGAGCACATACATATCCGAATGATCGTTCAGTTTACCGTTCAATACCCATAGATGACGGTTTTGACAAATACATATTTAATTAACTACGTCACAATAATTTAAATTTCTGAAATCAGAAGAGCAAAATTTTTTATAAACTATCAGCATTTAATATTAAATATTGTAAAACTATGTCGTTCGATTTAAATTGTCATTATTAGATGAAATTCTCTTATAAAAAGAAGCTTCCTTTCGATAATCGATTCCGTTTATTTTCTGCCTTTATTTTCATGAATTTCAATGCTACAATTAATAGATTTTAACTTTATCTTCGTATCGCAACATAATATGTTTCGCACGGTGTTTTATAAACGACGAGAAATCTCGGAAAGATGACTCGTCGCAACACGTTTTTTTTTTTTTTTTGCTGTGATTGTGTATCGATGGAGCATGACTCGTCGCTATGTGAGACGATTTGGAGTAAAGACGAAAGGCAAAACGTCTCTCTGGGAGAAAAGAAACATAGGATCCCCGCGGCGCGGTGCCTTCTCCAGACTGGGCCTTAAAAATCGAGTCAATTTAAGGACTCGGCCGCGAGCGAGATATAGAGAAACGCGTATATGCATGCGATTCTTCAAGAATCTCCCTCACGAGGATGAGAATTCATTTAATGTCGAAACGAGCGAGTCGAAATTTTTTGCGCTATTTGTGCCGGGGCCCTCCTGCGTTATATACGTGTCATTAATTATAATCCCTTATTAATTATAATCATACGAGGAACAAAGTCCTACGCTTAATCACGATACTTGAAAAGTATGAAATCGAGATTATGCTTCGTCGAATCTGAAAGCTAAAAAAAAAAACCGTCGCCATTATACGCGCAACAAATATTTTCCCACAGTATACATCAGTTTTTCATCCTTCGGGGGAGTTTGTAAGTACGATAGTCATTTTTCATCGACACACTGACAAAAATTACGTCGACGGCAAACGAACCATCCATCGTGATACAGGACGCTTCTTCGTTCGTTCAATGAAAAAAAAAAAAAAAAGGTGAAAAGCACGTAAAAGAGTGAAAGAAAAATCTAACCGCGAGAAACGAGGAAGGATAAATTGAAAAAAGAGATCCAAGAGGTTTCGTAATTTTGGTAGACGTCATCGATCTAACCTTCGGGAAAGGCGTTCCAGGGGGGGTCCCGGAATTTCTCTTTCATCGGAAGGATCTTTAAGCCTAATTCCAAGTCTCCTTCTATCAAACTTCTGCCATTCTCAGGATTTATTTGCGCGAATAAAAATCGCCTATCTATGGATCACATTCGCAAAATAAAAATTCAATAGAAACAATTTATGTACGTTGTCTTTAAATCATTTTATTTCATGATTAGAACTTTATTTTTTTGGGCTATTGTTATGTCTTTAAATACTCTTTAAAGGTACTTTTTACATTTTTTGGGTGATAATCTTTTACTTTTACGTAAAACATCTTGTAAAAATATAATTATAAAAATAAAAAATTTTAATAAATTTGTGTATTTTTTTTCTTCTAAACTATCTATCAAGAAGATTGATTATTAAAGCAGAGTTTATTCGATAGGGGGTATCGAGTAGTATTACGAACTTTTTACGCTTTTCTCCATATATAGAATAGCGTAGAGCAGATGTACCTGCCAGCAGTCGATTACGTGGCTTTTAGAATTGAGACGTCTCAATTTCACGATTTCAAGCCCAAGAAAAAACTTTCCCCACGGATCTCTCCCTTTTACTGCCATGGACCAACCGCACATCCCCTGTGGAATCACCACCTATTCCCAGCTTGTTGGATCAATCCGGAAACCTATCACCCCTCTGTAAGATTTTCCTAAAATCACGGAAAAATGAAAGAAAATTATGAGGATTACAGTTATATCGACATATATTAGCTTCTAGAATTTAGAAGATCGGAAATCTTTGTTTAAGTATGTAAGATGAATAAAATTACTTAAGCAATGTGTTGCTTTATTTAACATTCTCCTCTTTATTAGTTGAAATGACACGTGTAGAGAGAGGCAATAAAATTAAAAATAATGATTTTGTTTTCTAATCATAAATTATAACTTGGATAAATTTACGGTCGATGATTTACTTTCTTGAACTTGTATTGAACTTGAAATTCCTTAGAATGCAAAATTTTTGCATTTGTTTAATAAAAAGATATATGGCCTTCTTTTATATTGAGTAGATATATCACATTTTACTCGTTATTCCAGCGATGATTTGTTATTCAATAAACAATCTTTTTGCGATTGTCTTGCCTGGAAAACGCGTTCATTAAACTTGGCCCCGATAAGAAGCCAAAGTTAACTATTTTATGAATCGTTCGAGATATTCCGCGGCTCTCGTTACGCCTCACGAAGGATCATAAATACATCAATATACGTTTGATACGTCAACATTCAGATAACTCTTTTCCCCACTTCTCAGTTAGCTCCAATAATATATATTACGTACCTTGTATTTCTCGAGAAAAAAGTCGTGTGTCGTTATTGATAATGAAAAACAGCTTCGTCATTGATTGACGTCGCTAAATCCACTAAATCCACGCGTCGATTCTAGAGATTCTGCAAATTTATTATCTTACAATTTTTTTTTAAATATTAAGAAAATCTCAAAAGTATCATCTCAATGACGATTGGAATTCCTTTCTTTTTTCTCGTAGGAAAACTGAAGGTGAAGGAGGAGAAGGACGCCTCGTCGATGGCGCCCGGAAGTCCGCCCACGCCTCCGCATACCCCGCAAAGTCCGCAACGTGTGATCCCGTCTCTTGGTAATCTGTCGCAATCCTGCCAAACATCAAACGCGAACTCTCCAAATCTGCAACAACAACAGCAGCAGCAGCAGCAGCAACAGCAGCAATCGCAGCAGCATCAGTCGCAGGAGCAGCAGCAACATCCCATGCACGCCATGGCTAATTCGTCGTTAAGTCAGATACTGGTGCAGAATCCAGCGTTAGCGCAGTTGCTGCAACAAAATCCAACGATTTTGTCGCAGAATCCGCAGTTGGCGCAGCTGCTGCAGCAGAATTTGCAGGCTCAAATGGGCAGCGTGCTTTTCCAAAATGTGAGGCGGGAGGAATCCGAGGACTCGAGGGTAAGTTTCATAATTATTTTACTCCGGTAGTCCAGAGTTCATTACACTCCAACACCGAGGAGTTGCGAACTAGAAACTGAAGCGGTTTCTTAAAACGAAGGTGTGTCACTTAAGAGTTCTGAAACAGCAATTTTTACAATCGTTCAAGTCGTTCTAAAGATCGCGCGATTATTACGAGGAATCGGAGAGAAGTGCGAATGTAGGCGATTGTCGGATCGTATTGAAGATTTCGAGTGTAGTGTTGAATTGTCGCGAGGTATTTCGTCAAAAGCGAGGCAACTCAGGCGGGCTGTCCAAAAAACAATATGCGATGACTCATCCGACTCAAGCCGCCGTCAGATCGTAAAGTTACCAACGGGAGCTGTGTGAGCTTAACTGTGCTAGAATAATTCAGCGCTTCCTAGAATCGTAAGCGACGAACAATCGGTTATGATACGTCGTAATAAAAGTCGATAGAGACTTCGCCTGGTGATCATTCGCTCATTGAATATCTTTGAGTTTTCTGTTCTTATCGAATCGTTTATTTCACACTGTAAAAATTCCATATTCACGGCAGATATAGAGAGAATAGGGAAGATATTCACAA